GAGTGTGATCCTGCATGGAGCTTATCTAAGGTACGTTCCTGAGCTTAGCGGCTTTTGAAGTCTCCCAGAAGCCTGCAGATTTCGCTGAGATCCGCAGGGAATCAAGGCAGGTCAGAGCGGCTGGTTCGAGGTTCTGGAATGCTTCGGTTTCGACTTTAGAGTCTTTAGAGTTCAGGGTTTCGAGATTCGGGTTTAGGATTCTGGAATGTTCAAGCTTAGGGGAGGCCGCTGAAATTGTGTCTTAATCCTTGGGGGGGAGCGGTCTTGTTCCTGATCTTTGTGGCGGTTCTATGAGTAGGCGCAATATTCGGATCCCTACTCGACTCTCGGTAGGGGAGGGGTGGTCAGTACTCAACGGCAGTCCCCAATCAACCCTCAAGCCCCTCACAGAGCCTAAACCCAGAAACCCGACACCCTCAAACCCTAAACCCCTAAAGCCCAAAACTCCTAAACCCTCAAACCCCATAATGTAGGGGCCTTATTCATTAGAATTTGGGTTTGGGGGTATATTATGCTATACAGTTATAATAAGGCGCCCCCCCAAAATAGTATAGGCAATTATTTTGGCCCCTATACTCTCTTCTTCAACAACCAGGCCAGAAAAGGTTCCAACTTTCTAAGGTACACCAAATGTATAAAGCCAAAAAGTTTAAAGTTCTTCCATTTGCTATCTAAGTATGTTACCCTAAAAAGGAAAGCCCAGCAAACGACCCAGCCTCCACCTACTCGCACGTAGCCCTCGGGTGCCGGGTCGGGATCCGGGCACACGTCGAGCTGGCAATCCGGCTCAGTGTACCTTTTCGGGTTTTGGGATTTCTTTTAAAAGGCTTAGGGTTTCAGGAGGGTTTTTCGAGTATAGAGTTCTAGGAGGATTTAGGGTCTTGGGGGTCCTGTTTTGGCTTCGGGAGAATTCAATTCGGGTTTCCTTTCTCTGGGGGTCCTTTACGGGGTGGTTAGAGATTGTTGTACAGTGCAGTGACCTTTTCTCTGCATCCTTTAAGGGATTACTTTCAGGGCTCCTCTATGGGGCTTTTTTCGAAACTTCCAGGCCCTTCGATTTTACCTTAAGGGTCCTTGAAGGGTTGCTATGAGGGCTTCGGAACCCTTCCCATGGTTCTATAAGAGCAAAGGCTGTAAAGGGTTAGTCCATGCAAGAGTATAAGGGTCTAAGGGCTTGAGGTCCAGGGTTCAGGGTTAGGGGCTCTTGCTTAGAGGCAAGGTTTTCGTTTTTTGGGGGCTGCAGGTGCTCCCCTTTCCACAAAGGAGCTGGGAATTGAGGGGATTTGGGTGCGAGGAGTGGGGCTTTGTTTGCTTGGTAACTTCGTTAAAGGGCCCCAACTATTCAATTTCAGCTTTCTGGGAACTTCAGGAGAAGCCAATAGAAACACAAAAGCCTTCAACGCCCTACAAAAGCGGTCAAAAGGCCATAAACCTCTAAACACAGCCTTAAAGCCAACCAGCAGAAAATTGCCATACACCCGACCCCGCTAAACCCAAAACTCTGCCAAACGCACAAAGAGCCCTTGCAGTAACACCCAAACCCTCACTGAAGTCCTAAGGCCGAAAACCACAGCAACCCTAAAGCCGAAAACCACAGAAGCCCCTTTGAAAACGCCATAGAACCGTTCAACTGAAAGCAACACCTGAAACCCACGCCTATAATCCTAATAGAACCTCGTAATCACAGGCGGCTTCAAAAGGGAAGCCCTGCACCCTAAACCCTCTACAACTCTATAGACGGAAGCCCTCAAGGGGTCAACTCGGATTCTTCCTACCCCTTACTGGAGCCCTAAAACGGCACCCTTTCGAAGGGAGTTTCCGAAGATAGGGGACCCTAACAAGGTATCCTAAATAGTAGGATCCTTATTATAAGGGCCCCCCAAAATAAGGTACCCCCAATTTTCGGAAACTCCCAAACCCTAAACCCTAAACCCTAAACCCTAAATCCTAAATCCTAAACCCTAAACCCTAAATCCTAAATCCTAAACCCTAAACCCTAAACGAAACTCCCAAAAGGGAACCCCCCCAAAACGGAAACCCCGACGGCCCCCAGGCGCGCTGAAGGCCCTGGAGTCCGCCCGGGCTCTCGCAGAAGGCAGAGGTGGAGCTCCCTGTATCGGGGCTCTACCCAGAGGCCCCAAAGTAGCTCCTTTTTGGGATTACCTTATAGGTTTCTATATATGAACCCCAACAAGGAAGAACTTTGGGGCCTTAGGGTAAAGCTTGCTTGTTTGGCGGCTTTAAGGATTCCTTTTCGGGGCTTTCGAGGTTTAGGATACAGATAGGGTGTTAAAACAAGGATTTTTGGTATGGGCTTCATCTTTTTTTGATAGGGATTCCTTTAGGGGGCTTTAGAGGTTTAGGCTGCAGTTGTTTCAATAGGGCGATACGTTGTTTCGTTGTAGGCTCCGCTGTCTGAACAGCGATTCTATAGAGTTCAAAAAGGTTTTAGGGGCACTGCAAAGGTTTGGTATCAGGTTCTTTAAAGCGTTTGTATACGGGTTTAGGGTTTGGGGTTTCGGGGTCTGCGTTGACGTGTCCAGGGCAGGGTCCCTCATTGGCATCTTGTAGGGCGGTCATAGGAGTCTACAAGGGCTCCAGAAAGGAGTGCGTTGGAGTTTGGGGCTTAAGAGTCTTGGGTTTATTCGTTTGGGGTTTACGGGATACTGTAGGGATTCTTTGGACGGTTGCCATTATAAGGGTTCTACAAGGGTTAGCACAAGCGCTTATTCCTTGTCCAAGGGCCCTTTCTGCGCGTTCAAGGTTGGGATCTGGTTCTCGGGGTTTAGAGTTTCGAGTTTGTGGGTTTGGGGCCCTGAACCTCAAGTCCCAACCCCCCTTTTCCACAGCAAAGAGCGCCGAGAGCCGGGCCGAGGAAAGGAGATCTGCAGGTGATGACGCACTGCCTTTAGCGACGGCTCGTTGTTTTTTTGTGCTTCTTTCCGAGTCTTTCCTGCTGTCTTTGTTCCTGCTGCGTTTCACACTCAAATTTCGATACTGAGCTTGCGCTCTTCATAATTAATTGGCAGTGGCCCCGCTGACGATGTAGACATGGGTTTACAAAGGGGGTCGGCAAGGGATATGCAATCTGGGTGCCCGAGCACTGGTTTAGGTAGGTCATGCGTCCAAAGCGACTACCAGTCTATGTGTGACGCCTGATTCGTGTAGGGTTATGCTTTGGGATAGGGTGCCGAGCCTGGGCATGTCTCGAACCACAACTGTGATTGCCGCTTCTGTCGCGAGTCTTCTGGATTCCGGGCGGAGTTTAAGAAAAAAATAGTATTATGTTTTATCAATGCGGTTTTCAAGTATGTTTTTTGTCGCCACTGCTAGTGTTACTGCTACAACCCAAATTAAGTATTGGCAGCAGCAGAAGCCTCGCGTCTCAGTACTCGTAGAAGTATCCATGTTCATCAGTGTGCTGTATTGTGTCCGTGTCAGCATGATTACCGTTCATGCTACTGCTTGGCATTCCTATCGTTTTCTGTTCCGAAGACTATTTGCCGTCTCACGGTCAAGGCTTCACCTTCTCCGTCTCCCTTTGTGGGCAAGTCGATTAAGGATTTAGGGGTTGAGGAGACTACGGTTAGGGGTGTAGGGGTGTCGAGCCCGAACGCCGCCAGCTCTGAACTCCAATATCCTCAGTCCCAAACTGACAATCCGTATGAATGCACAGGATCTCGAAGCCGCTAGGCCCTGGGCGCCAAAACTAAAACCTGAGCTCCGGTCCCGCCCTAAACCGGCACCACTAAACCCCAATATTGGAATGAAGACGTGTCTTGCAGTACAGGATTCAACAACCATTTAGTGACTTTTATCGGATGCTATCAATAACAGCACCATTCCGGCACATCACAGAGGTTTAGGGTCCGAGCTGGGCGACTTCGATCCCGTCGCAACTGGACGCGTCCTTTGGAGGCGGGGTGCGAGTTGTAGTATCCGACTTTAGGATGAGAGAGGGTTTCGCAGGCGTTGGCTGTTGGGCTGGGGGTTGGGGGTTTTGGGTTTAAGGAACGGGTCTCAGTCGTGGTTAAATTAGTTAAGGCATAATTAGCGGTTTGTGCATCTGCGATCACCCCTGTAAGATGCAGATGCTGCAACTGCTTTCACTCCTGAAGCTTAAGGGCGCAAGCATGTCTTCGTCAGAGGACTGGTGCATCATTTCTCAAACCTCGGAGTCAGAAAACGATCAAAACCCCAAATCCTATACCTCTACATCAAAAGTCATCACTCGTTTTAATTATGCGGACTCAACTTGAAGCTGAGTTTCCGGCTCAGCGATACCACTAGCAACTATCATGTACCTTCTGAAATAGAGCTACCGGACCTGCCTTATGGGGGGCTTTGCAATGAGGATCCTTCCGTTTGTTGAAAGTCTAGTTTCAGTTCGGGTCCCTGGTTTCTGAAACTCCCGTAATCATGCGTGCAGTGGCAGCACGATTTACTTGTCCAGTATCCTAGCGGAACTGAAAGTTAGCCTTTTGGGTTGTTCAGGGGTTATAATATCCTAGAAAAGGTTGAAGGCCACCTACTCTAAGTCTAAGATGATGGCACAAGGCTGCCCCGTGAGACTTTCTTGATGTTGACAAGACCGCAGAAATCCACCCCCAACACCAATCTCAAACCGAATCCCAAACCATGTAGATTCTAAACTTCAAGAATCCCGTCCTACATCCCCTGAGGCCGGGGAGGGCTTCAATGCCGCTTTGTGGTTGAGGGTGTGTCGCCAATCTCGAAAAACGTCCCAGTTACATGGATGTCCGTTGGTTACCTATGTGGCTGGAATCTTGAACTCCCAGTGCCTCTGGAAGCTAAGCACACCTTGGTGTTGGCGAACAGCATGAGCTGAAAAGAACCGAGGCCACACCGCGCTGCATTTGTCTGCTTGGAGGAATACACGAGCTGCGCGTGTTCCGTATCTCGCCGGCCTTCTGCCCCTGCAACTGCACGAAAACTGCATCTGGGTCAGCTGCTTCGTCTGATCCTGCCGTGCACTCGACCTAGGCCTGTCTGCATTCGGACGTCCATCGCAAAGCAACATAATGCTCGGCTCCACGGGACTCGAGCTGGGCTTTTATGCTTTTAAAAGCATCGCTGGGTCCATCACTCTGCGCCCCTGCAGTGACGATCAGCAGCTTGCCTAAAGCACATGTGGCTTGCCCACAGGTCGATAGAGTGTCTCGCCAGTTCCAGTGCTTGAAGAAGTCGATACCCCCGGGGTGGTAGATTGCAAGCCAAAGTTCATCAAAGTAGGGGTTCGTACCATCGTCGTTACTCCCTTCTCTGATGCCGCTGAACCGACAGAACCACCTGTTGTCCCTGGCTCGGATGCATAGCGTTGAACTTTTCACCTCGACTCTGACTTTATCACGTATCCAGTCGACCGCAGCGTTTGAGCCTCCTCGTGTGTATCCATATGGGGTTACCTCGCCCTTGGCACTCCGGAAAACACTGTCTGGATTTTCAAGCTGATCTAGCTGATAAGCAATTTCTTGGATTCTGTGGGCACGGATGACAGAGTTCAACGTGAACAAAGGAATACCATCGTAAAACTTGCACTTGGCATGGTAGGCTTTGTTCAGGACCTCGGCATAGAGCGTCTGCACAAGCGGATCTGACTTCGGGACGTAAGACACAACAACGCAGCCACCTCGCAACGTCAGTTTGTCGAGAATGATGTGCAAAGCCTCTTTCCAGCAGATTTGCCCACGCTTGGAGGTCACTTTAATATTGTGGCCGAGGGTTGCAGTTCTTGAGCCGGTCTTTGTGACTCCGGTTTTCAGGTCATGCTTGACCAGAAAGAACCCATCAGGTGCATAAATCAGGAGATACAGATCATCAAACGGCTGCTCCGCACGACATCCATCACGGGCAAGCTTCACTTTGTAAAAGACAACTTTCCAAGAGTTCAAACCCTTGTCAAAGCAAAGCTGAGAAGTCTTCAGCTCCACCCGTCTGCCCATGAAAATCCAATCAAACTTGGCCTGGCCAAGGTTTCGCTGTCCATCACCATCGTATTCGGCATCTTGAGTGGCGTGGTTGTCATAGAGTCGTTCGAGCAGTCGTCGTGCCAGAGTTTCCAAGCTCAACCCACGCCGGGCAAAGCTTATTGTGGCGAGAGGGTCGCCGGCATACGCACTGTTTCTTAAAGCACAGCCCTCGTTGGAGATGATTTGCTGAAATCTTGACGAGTCCAGCACAACCAGCCGGCGACATTGTACCAGCCACCGGAGTTTCGCGGCAGGTCGTGCACCTCTTCCCCACCGTAGCATTCCCGTCTTTCAAGACACAGTGCAGGGCTGACGACGAGGCTTGACCTGTTCAGCAAAGAAGGGAGCTGCTACGGTTGATGATATAAATCCTGCATTACCCATAAAGAAGGAATATACTATAATTCCCATATTTTGGGTCCTTAAGGTAATGCAGGATTTTCATCATGAGCCGTATCTCTGAGTCTCCGTCTCCAGCCTCTCACGAAAAACTTGCTTGAAGCAAGCAAGTTCTGGCCCGGAAGGGAACCGCAAACCCCAAGTCCCCTCGGAAATGCATATCCCCAGCATCTGGGGAACCGAGCGTACATGCAAAGGTCCAAGAGCGGCGGTACACACCTTGGTTCTAGTGGGTATTGCGCGGGGTTTTATCACGGGCCCGTGGGCCTCGTACTGACACCAGTAACCAGAGACTCCAATATCCCTTAATTAAGGAATCATCCTTAAATTATAGTAGGACGCCATAATATGATTTAAGGTATATTCCCTAAACAAGGGATATTGGAGTCTCTGGGCTGGTTATTGCTAATTTTAAACACTCGTCACCATTACGAAGGGCCTTAGGACTCAGGTTGCTTGGATTCTCATCTTCAACCTAGATCGCTCCATTATGGCCTAGCGGAACTAAAGTCTAACCTTTTGGTTCGTATAGGCGTATAGGGGCTATGATACACCAAAAAAGTTAAAAGTTGCCTGCTTGATGTCGGTGGTACTACATTACGGGACATCATGCACTCTTTTGGGTATTTACAGGGACAGTGCCAAATGCAGGCTTTGCCAGTGCCACCAGTGCCAGAGGCTCCTGCACTCTGACAAGAACGCTCAGAGCCTACCAGGCTCTAAAATCTGGAAGCAGCATAGCTACGGAATCGCGTCAAACCCAGTCGCCCTAAACCTAATCCCTGAACGCTGAAATCCTGACTCTCCAAGCCCAGAACCCTTTTTAAAGCACTACAAAGGCAATTAATACCCGAAGCAGCGTCTCCAATATCCCTTAATTAGGGAATATTCCTTAAAGTATAGTAGGATCCCTAATATGATTTAAACCTAAACCCTAAACCCTAAACCCAATATTCCTTAATTAAGGGATATTGGAGTCTCTGGGCTGATCTCGGCCAAGGGGCGGCCCGTTCTTCTGGCAGCCGATGAGAGTCGGCCCCGACAGGCAGAAGCCGGGCTGGCATTCGAGGTTTTAGGGTTTAGTGATTTTAGTGGTTTTGGCTTAGGGGTTTAGAGGTTTAGGAGTTTAGGGTTTAGTGACTCTAGTGGCATTGTTTAGGGTGACGGCTGGGGTCTAGGATTTAGTGGGATGGGCGGGAGCCCTGTTGGCATTCGTTGATGCTTTAGGATCCATTGTGGATTTCTGTCAGGTTTTATGAGGTTTGGACGAGGGCTTTTTATAGGTTCAGAATATTAATTGTTTTCACAGCTCAATTTTTTCGGAGTCCAACCCCATTCGGGTCTCAGCCCAGCCTTAAACCCTAAACCTTGAATCCTAAAACCCAGTTGGTTCGAGGCCAGTCCCCTTGAAGCATATTTTGAGTATTTCATATGACATTGTATTATACCATGTTACGTCATACCGGATTTATATCACAATATTGTCATATCAGCATGTTATATACTTTCTATAGGGTTGTAGTATACATTAGGATAATGTGATTGTCGAAAGGCAGTCGTCAGGCCTGACTGCACACGACCTCTGCCGTCCCGGTGTAGTTCTGCGAGGTGTCACAAAACCTCGGCTCCATGGTCTGCAGCCCGGTTTAGGGTTTATGGTTTCTAAGGGCTCTAAGGTTTAGCTTTTTAGGGTTAGGGTTTTTAGGGTTTCAGGATTTTACGGTTTTAGGGTTTACGGTTTAGCCACCCTTCACCAGAGGGAAATGGAATGCAAGCAGCACCTGTTGAAAGGACAAGAGTCATCAATGTGTCTCTTCCCATACCCAAAAGCCCAAGACCCTGACCCCTCCCACGAGCCCCCAAACCCTCCATGAGGCCTCGCGGTGAGCCAGCGCTGCGGGGCTTGACTACGTGCTCTTCTACGTTCAAAAACAAGGTGCCCTTCTATTATCTATTGAGGGTTGGATTTATCGTTGTCTTTCCTTATGTAACCTGTAAAACGTCTAAGTCGGTCTCATGGATGGCCTGACACTCCAGTTTGGGGACCCGAACTCCTAAACCCTACACCGACTATATCCATCCTTCAGAACACAACTCTAAACCCTGAAACCTACACCCTAAAGCTGTTGCTATCTTCAAAACAAGAACCCTCAGGGCCCTAACTCCTAAATCCTGAACCGATTATCTCCTGAAGCCCGAAACCTACACCCTACCGCTATGGTCTTCAAAACAGGAACACTCAGGGGCCCCCACCAGCCAGACCCGTTGAAGAAGTAGCCCTCCGGCGCTGTCCGAGGATTGGGGCCTGCGGTTTTGAAGGGTCCTACGAAGGGTTACAGTATATTACAGTAGATTCTAATACAGAACAGCAAATATTGCAGAATGTACAAAAGGCCACAGTATATTACAATAGATTATAGTGTGTGTATATATATATATAGAAGTAGTGTAAAAGGAATTGAATATTATAGTATATCATCGGGTTGTAGAGGGTTCGATAAGAGTTCTACAAGAGCTTCTGCAACGGGGGTTCCAGGTGAAATGCGTGTTTGTTTTCACGGCGCGCCGTTTGTCGCTACTCGTCTTGGTCTTTAAATGTCGCGTCATGCTTGCATCGGCCCGTCAGGCATTCTCGAAAAGATCACCCTTTTCGATGCAAAGGCGGAAGGACACTACACTCCAAACCCCTTTCTGGAAGCCCTAGCCTAGGCCAGAAACGCAGAAGCGACCAGACACGAAATTTCCTCACAAGATTTCCCCGAAACCCAAAACCCTGGGCGTCGATAGATAAACTCGCAAACCCCAAGCATGCAAGACCCCAGACCCTAAAGTCTTCACGCATAGCCTTGTCAATCCCGAAAGCCCCTTCTGAAACCTTGTGATACGAGGCAAGCAACAGCCCTGTAAAACCCTGCAACACTCCTTCAAACCATGTTGCGTAAACCCCTCATGAAATTCTGCAGAAAACTCGAACAAGCACATGTAGTAACAAAATACAGCACAAAGACCCCTCGCAGCACAGATACTCGAAACTCTGAACCCAACCTAAAACCTCAAACACCCTGAGGCGAGGCCGCGACAACGGCAGGACGGCGGGGTCCACTCATACGCCTTCATGGATGACTCAGGGCTTGTAGCGTCCTTTAAGCTCCTTTAAAGGGTTCCCTTACGGGTACTATAATGCATGGGGGTAGGGTTTACGGTTTTGGGGTTTAGGGTTTGAGGGTAGGGTTTAGGGTTTAAGTTTAGAGTTTAGGGTTTAAGTTTCGGGGTTGGGGGTTTCAAGTATTATAAGGATTCTAGAGGATATAGCCGTTGTAGGGTCTTTACACGACCTGTGTATATAGGAGCATTATAGGGCATGAAATCCGCGTGCAGGGTTGTCGGGCTTGGATGGGATGCAGGATCATGGGTTAGAGGGTTTAGGGCTGATGAAGAGTTGATCACCGGGACCGTCACATCGGGCTTATTGATCAGCTTTTCTTGGGGGTTCACAGTCTGGGGTTTATACGGATTTGGGCTATGCCCCCCCTTTTGGAACCATAACAAAAAAGCAATGATTTCAATATTCTCTTGGGCGTTATATGAACAAAATATAAAAAATCCATCAGGGGACCAAAGTCGGGTTTGAGGTTTATAATGACAAGGATTTACGGACATTGTAGGGTTGTAGAAGAAGCAGTAGCAGTAGGTAGCAGTAGCAGTAGCAGTAGCACCAGCAGCAAGCAGGGGGCACGACACCAAAAGCTCAAAGCCTACATGCTGTACCTAAACTAAACTCGAGTCTGAATTTTTGGGCGATGAGAAAGCAGCTGCAAAGTCCCTTCTCTCTCTTGCTTAGGTCGCTGCACCATTCCACTCCGTGTTTCGACCTCATGCTGAGTTGGCTCAGGATTTCGGGATTTACATTGCCATGACATGAGAACAGTCCCGAAACCCCAAACCCCTGACTTAGTTCCCTGCCCGCAGCCCGACTTCAGTTCCAGGGTTGAGGGTTCATGTCACCAGGATTTCGGGCATGGGTTCAAAAGTCTGTGCCAGAGTTTATACGTGAACCCTGCATTATGTGCCTTCAGACGCTCACAAACTCGAAAGCCGGAGCCCTGAACCTCAGAACGGCGAAACCCTAAACCCCCGCAAAGCCTAATCACCGAAACCCTGCTAGCAATAGCCCGCAAAACCGCCCCCGTCACCCCGGCTCTCGAAAGGTTTTATCGAGGGTTCTAAAGGCTTTTCTAGTCAAGGATTCTTTCAAAGTCGTACATGCTACAGGGCAGGAGTTTTGTAGGACCTCGTTTGCCGTCATCCTGTTTAGTTCTTGCCTTTTGGGGCAGAAGGTAGTTGTCCGTTTTGTTTTTGGACTTTGAGCCCTTAGGCTTTAGAGTTTCGGCTTCCAGGCATAGGGCTTTAGGTTCAAGGCTTGTGGGGTTCGGCTTCGGGACTGCTTGGTTTAGGGTTTCGGGTTTCTGGTTTTAGGTTTCGGAGTTTTGTGGTTGGGGTTTTAGTATGTCGGGCGGTGGGTTGTTGATTCGGGCGCTAGGTTCAGGGCTTTGGCTGGGGCTTCGGTTAAGTTTGGGGCTGTGGGGTCAAGAGTATGACGATCGGATGTCACTCTAGCCGGGACTGGGCTTGGTGTACCTAGCTTCGTGTGAGCCAGGCACACCATCCGACACATTCAGCATTCAACTAGGCACCAGCAACCAGAATCCAAAATTTGACACCTGAGCCCCAAAACAGGACCACATTATCGTCCCAAAGCCAAAAACCAAACCGGCCTCCCGTTCCTAAGCCCAAACCCTGAACCCGAAGCCCAAACCCTCAAAGAACCAAAAGTCCTAAAACCCCTAAACCCTAAACCCAAAAAAGCGACCTCCTGCAGCACC